ATCCACAACCGCACTTAGCTCTGATACCATGTTAAGTCTCGGGATACCATCCTAAAAGGTCGACCTGATAGGAGAGGAGCCCAAATCTTAATATAGTGTTTTAATTGTTAAGACTCAGTGTTCCATCCTAAAAGGTCAACCTGATAGGAGTAGCTCAAAGCCTTAAATAGTGTTTTATTGTTTTATGACTTTTCGATGTGGGACAAACACTGTAACACATCCATATTGGATGTGCAGTTCTATCTGGAAATCAGCTAAACCAGAGAAATTTGTTGTGATGATCTTTCCATCGAAAGATTCATGGCTTTCTGACGGCCTGGAGAGTCTACTTGGAATTTCTTGGAATCACGTGGGGAACCTGTGAATATGAATAGTTATTATGACCTTGCGTTCCATAGTATGAATTGGACAGAAAAACAGGTAGCATGTTTTGAAGGGGGTGTGCGTAAAGCAGCTCATGTCATTTTTTATCGCGGAAAGTTCTATGTCGTAGATTATGATGGAAATGTTTGTGTGGGATCCCTCAACAAATGATCTAGCACGGCACATATTTTTCGTGGATAAGAATCTTGCTTTGACATAGACTCTGCGCTTGGTGGAATCTTCAAAAGGTGATCTACTTCTTGTCAGAATTCATCCTACATACGGCCGTGAAGGAGGGGAGTCAAACACTAGCCAACTTGGAACCATTTATAACATGTGACTCGAATGATATCCGAGGGGATCACCTTGTCATTGTCTTCGAAAAACGTTGATTCATTTGGATGTCATTAACGGAATATGGACTGAAAGAGGAAATTTAGGAGAAATGCATTGTTTACTGGCACTAGTCATTCCATTTCGATTTGGGCTCCGAACTTTCCAAATGTGACCTGGGGTTCCATCCTAAAAGGTCAACCTTATAGGAGGAGTAACTCAGATATTAATATATCACTTAATTCCTTCACAAATATCTGGTGTGGGAATTATTTAACACCCTCTTTAAGACCAGACACTTCGTCTGGATCGTGTCGTCATTCATTTTTTTTTTCATTATTGAGTCAAATACTTTAACACACACCATCATCCTCAATTGAATGAGCAATATCCAAGTGTATAATTAGGCCAAATAGACCCTTAACAAGCTACCATTAATCATGGGTGTTAAACAAGCAATTAAACGACAACCAGACTTTGCTCTGATACCATGTTAAGACTTGGGGTTCCATCCTAAAAGATCAACCTAATAGGAGGAGTAATTCAAACCATAATATAACATTTAATTCCTTCACGGGTATCCGCTGTGGGAGTTATTCAACAATTTCGGATGTGATCTCTGTGACTCGGCGAGGACATTCATTTCACTATCTTTAGCTTAACTTTTTGTTTTAACATGTTCCACAAAGTGTATTTGTATTTCACATGCCCAATAATGGTCATGCAATTCCCTTTTTCATGCTTAAGGACAGATGTAGTATTACTAGTATTGTATGTCTGTATAGATAGAATTGTCACCCATTCGTTTATGACATGGAATTCTTAATTCGTAAGTTCTTTCCAACAGGGGCGGAGTAGGGGGTCAGGGTGATCAGCCGACCCCGCTGAAAGTTTGAGAGTTTAGAACTTTGAAATATCTTCGATTTGATATATTATGACCCTCGTAACTCATTACGAGTAAAAAATTATGACTTTTGCAGAACATCAGCACTATCAGCAAAATTTGATGTGTAATATTGATTTTCCTAATTTTTAAAAAGTAACGTTTAATAAACTCATTACTTACGTGACACGATTCGGAAACAGAGCAAAGACAATTCATCTTATTGCTACGACTGGCTATTTATCTAGATTACAAATGAAACATTCAACTTGAACATTGTCTAAAAATGATCTACCATTTTCATTTTGTACATAGTTGATTTTCGACCCCTGAGCCATTTTTCTAGCTCCGCCACTGCTTTCAAGGATATATAAGTTCTGTTTATTATTTACTTTGGACAAGAAATGCATTCAAAGTATTTATAAGTTGAAATCTGATAATATTTTTCTAATTTGATTAGTAATGTGAGTGAAGTACTCATAGTTTGACAAATATATACGAAATATTTATGTATTTGTTTCCTAAAATATATTTTTTCAATAAAAAATCCGAATGATTCCTAGAGTGTCTGGTTGGATCATTGAATATATTTTGATTCGTAGCCAAAATATGAAAGCAAACTCTTATAATTGAATTGAAATTCGTGAAGTTACGTTGTTGACCTGTTGCATGCTTATTTTATTTGAGTTTAACTTGAATACTCAGTAGTGTAGTTATTCTGGTGTTTAACAATGCAGTATTGAGACTTGTTTAAAAAGCCACTTACTCATTTGAATTGATGCCACCGTCCTCACATTATTATGTCCTGCTATAGAGTAAGAGGATCTAATTCTGTTGGCTCCAGATGAGGAAAATCAGAAATGTTACCAGTTGTTAAATTTAATTACGATTTATGCATGTGCATGAAAGTCAATTGTTATAAAATCAAGTTAATATTATCACTAGAGTTAATGATTTTGTTTTTTGCTTTCAAGTTTCTTACTTAACATTTATTTATCTCTATTACCAGTTGGGTAATTATTGTAAGCTTTAACTTTTTTATAGGGAAAAATGTCAAATAAGCCCTCCTACTACCTATGTTCAAAAAAACCGACGCGGCCCGGCCGGGTTGACCCGGAACCCGGTGACCCAGACAAAAATCCAGTTCGGTTTCTTCAAAACCCGAAAATGGTCAAAAACCGGAAAAAACCGACTGACCCGAAAAAACCGATCCGGACCCGGACCCAAGAAACCCGAAAAACCCGGGAAAACCTTGTTTTCGGTCTTTTCCAAAAAAAATGTAATTTCTTTTTAATTTTAATGCATTTTTTAAACCAATAAAATTGCAATTTCAATTCTCTAAAAAAAACTATGTAATATATTTATTTAAGAATGAAAATCATGCCAAATTATAATATAAATGTACAATACAAATAAAATTATATAATGAGAGTGTATATAATTATATGTTTATTATTATTAATAGACGTATAGTCGTTGACCGGTTTTCCGGCTTTGACCGGGTTGACCCTTCGGGTCCGGGTTGACCCGTGACCCAGTCACATGACCGGGTTGCTCACCGGTCCGGTTTTTACAACATAGCCTACTACTACGAAAATGTCAATTAAGGACATGAACTCAAATAACACCCAATTAAGCATGTGAACTTGTAAAAAATGTTCATATTTGCTTTTTGCCAGGTAATCTTCGGTCATCAAATAAATGGCGACACGTGGCGACACATGGCATTTTTTCCTCCTTTTCTTTCTTTCTCCTTCCTTCCCCTCTTCTGTCGTTGACTCTTTCTTTGCCCTGCTACTCCCTCCCGTTCCCTGAGTTCATTTTCTTTCATTTTTAATCACTTCCACTTTTGCTTAATCACAACTCCAAGCTACTCCCAGTTTCTCACTTTTCTTTATTTTTTGGGTTTTGACATACCCTTCCTATCCATGGATACACAAGAAAAATTAGAACAATGCATAAAAGAACAAATTGATGGAGAAGATCGGCACATCATGTGACGGAACATTGGTAAGAGTGGAGGACAGCATTTGGTGAAGAGGCAGGCGCTCTCTTTGCTGGAAATTGGCCGGAGAAGACGACCGGAGCTCGGACCAATTTCTATGGTTTTACCGGAGGTTGACCGCGGAAGAAGACTGGCATTGGGATCCAACGGGCGCACATATTGGTGATTGTAAAATAAAGAATGAAAGAAAGAAAGGGAGAGAAGGGAAAGAAAGAGGCGCAGGAGAGGGGGAGTGGGCTGGAGATCGAAGAAAAGGGAATGGAGGAAGAAAGAGAGAAAGAAGGAATACAAAGAAAGAAAAGGAAAAGCAAAAAGAAAAAGGAGAAAATACAAAAATTAAATGCCATGTCATATGGTTTTACTTGGAACCGGAATGTTACACACTAAAAAGCCAATTTGATTTTTCGTTTGCGTGTTTGTGGGTCTAATTGGGTGTTATTTGGGTTTGTGTCCTTAATTGACATTTTCGTAGTAGGAGGAGGCTTATTTGACACTTTTCTCTTTTTTATATTTTGTGCACTTGATAATGCTAGAGGATTCTTAATTGTGTTATTTTGCAGGTATTTTACAAGTGGACAAATACTATTGTACGTTAGATTAGATGTAAGGTGTTAGATGAAATTTTACAAATTATTTTTTAAAAAAAGTGTACCATTGCGAGAGTTCGTATACCGCACGGCTGTACGGTGAGCGAGTGACTTTTATCAGTTGTGTACGGTAAAGGTATTGAGATACTCTCTCCGTCCCTTAAAACTTTGTCATCTTTTCTTTTTGCGACGTCCCAAAAAACTTATTACTTTCCTTTTTAATCAATATTTTGTGATTTTTGTTATTTCTCACTCTTGTGCACAAACTTCAACCACACAGTTTTTACGTTATTATTCTCCGTGCCAATCAACTTTGACAAGATTTTAAGAGACGGAGGTAATATTTTAATTGCTTTTAAGTGCACATGTAATATGTTGTCAAAAAAAGTGCACATGAAATATTAGTAATACAAAACGCATGTGAAATTTGTTATTGTTTAATATATGGATGGTACGTGTTATAATGAACATTGGTCATTTGGTTGTGAGTCGTGACCTTAAACGTACTACCTCTGTCCCTCAATAAAGTAAAAATTGTGTAGTAAAGATTTGAGCAGAGAGAATTAACTAGAACCACAAATTATTTACTTAAAAGAGAAAGTAACAAAATTAATGAGACATCTAAAAAAGAAAAATTGACAAAATTTTAAGGGACGGAGAGAGTATTAATTTGTCATATATCATATGCCAGATACAAACAATGTTCTAAAAGTCACAAATGTTTATCTCTCTAAGATTAATACTACGTACTAGTATAACTTAGTGCATATGTAGCACGAAACTTTCGAGAAAGAGTACGTTTAATTTTCATTTTGGAAACTCTGAAAACTCTTTGAAAACCCTCTAAATAAATCCTTTTTAACCAAATGTTGACGATTCTCGTTTCCGATTTCATCATGATTTTCGCGTTTCCGTGCAACATAACTTAGTGTCATGCCCAAATAGAGTATAGCAGATGCTAATAATAACACCATGAAAAACATATCCAATCTAAATCCAAACACATCAAAGAATCCTATTACCATTATGCGACCCCATACCCCCTTTCCCTCGCCGACCATTGCTGCTGCTGTGCTTGCGTGCAACTACAGCCCACCCGCCACCATCATCATCATCTTCAGCAGTTGACTGAGAAGACATGCATACATCACCGTCAATCGCCATTTCATCACCACCATTTGCAGCAGCAGGATGAGACATCGGAAAATCTAGAGCCATCATATTTGATGTGCCACCATAATTATTCACTGGACTCCCAACATCATCTTCAGCATCAGAATCATCACTATCCCAGCTGTTATCATCATTCTCATAAACGGTTGCCTGCATGCAAAATTTACAGGGATGATCAAATTCAGAAAAAAGATTTTAACCGGCAGCATATAATGGAAGCGTCACATTCTAAACTTGGGGTCCATTTGGGTAGAAGGATGAAATATAGTCACCTTCCCTACATGGGCACCAATCCATGCGGGTGGTTTCCAAGCCCTTAACCTCTCTACAAAACTATAGTCTCCTTTCATGCATCCTTCATGAACACGCATAATATTGGATGCTACCTGATTAAAGATGACCCAATTGAGTTAGGACATCAGACAAATAATAACAATCATCATCATAACAAGTCAAAGAAAATTGTCAAGCGAACATTACGCCGCTACTAAATCAAAATAAATCAGAATTCAGAACAAATAAAGGATTGTGAGATTCTAGAATAAAAAACTGACATGCATACATACATATGTGTGTGTGAAAAAATATGTGTGTATGAATACACAGATTTTTCAAAAGTGAGAAATGCATCTAGTGTATGAAATGAGAATGAATCTCAACCATAAAATTTATGATGTTGCATTATAAACAGCTTAATGATGCACTAGGATTGAATTTTTGCAATGTTGCACTAAGATTTGATTATGCATAAAACAGCTTCAAGTTGCACTAGAAAGGTGTAACACAGACTTTTCAGCGCAACATTAAACAGTTTTACTGCAACATAATCGAATTCAACGGCTGAGATTCATTCTCAATTTTCATCTAAATACTACATCTGCTCTTTCTTAATTGCAACGATTTGACTTTCACGTTTACCAATGCACAACTTTGATTGTAATTATATTTAATTACATATTAACAAACATTATAAAAATTATTAGTTTGGAAGTTCACATTAAGAGAAATTTAATAATATTTTATACATATTGATTTGAATGTATAGTGTGAATAGTGTAAAATTCAAAGTGTTGCAACTATTAAAGAACATAGGAAGTACACAATAAAAAATAAAGGAATTCAAACCTTCTTGTTAAAATAGAGCATATTAACTAAGAAATAATATTGGAGAGGAAAGGATTTTCTGTGTATTTCATTGGAGGGTTAAGTCCCTATAAATATAGATTACAAAGATAGAATATTCCTATAAGATTCTATACAATAATAATATCCTAGAGTATATTCCTAAAATATTCTAAAGTATATTCTAAGGATAGAAGAATATTCTAAAGTATATTCTAAAGTATATTCTAATGTCTTTCACACTCCCCCTCAAGTTGGAGCATAGATATTTATCATGCCCAACTTGTTACATAAATAACCAACACGAATTCCATTTAATGCTTTAGTGAACAAATCTCCAAGTTGCTCTCCAGTCTTCACATATCCTGTAGAGATCAATCCTTGTTGTATCTTTTCTCGAACAAAGTGACAATCGACCTCAATATGTTTTGTTCTCTCATGAAACACTGGGTTGTTGGCAATGTGTATAGCAGCTTGGTTATCACACCAGAGTTTAGCAGGCATTGGTGTCTTCAATCCGATTTCACTCAGCAAATGGTTTATCCAGATTATCTCACATGCCGATTGTGCCATAGCCCGATATTCTGATTCAGCACTCGAACGAGAAACCACATTTTGCTTCTTACTTTTCCAAGAGACGAGATTACCACCAACAAAGACGCAATAGCCAGATGTGGATCTCCTATCATCTTTAGATCCAGCCCAATCAGCATCTGCAAAGCATTCTATTCTCATGTGATCATGATTTTGGTAAACAATACCTCGTCCTGGTGTCCCCTTCAAGTAACATAATATATGCTCTACTGCATTCCAATGATCAACTGTCGGAGATGACATATATTGACTCACTACGCTCACAGAGTAAGCAATGTCTGGACGAGTGACTGCGAGATAGTTAAGCTTTCCAACCAATCTTCTGTACCTTTCTGGGTCTTCGAATGGTATGCCTTCTGAAGTGAGTTGCACATTGGGAACCATGGGAGTTGTGTTTGGCTTTGCTCCCAATTTCCCTGTTTCAGTTAGTAAATCAAGTACATATTTACGCTGAGATAGAAATATGCCTTTCTTACTCCGTGTTACCTCAATACCCAGAAAGTATTTCAATGAGCCTAGGTCTTTTGTTTGGAATTGGCTATGAAGAAAATTCTTAAGGGCCAAAATACCTGCGGTATCACTTCCTGTAATCACAATATCATCGACATACACCACAAGCAATGTGATACCTGCTTTCGTTTTTCTGTAAAAGACAGAGTGATCTGATTGACCTTTTATCATTCCAAACCATTCAATGGATTGACTGAATTTCCCAAACCATGCACGAGGACTCTGTTTCAGACCATAAAGAGATTTGCGAAGTCGACAAACTTTCCCATACTCCCCCTGAGCAACAAATCCCGGAGGTTGCTCCATATAAACTTCCTCCTGAAGGTCACCATGTAAGAATGCATTTTTAATGTCCAACTGGTGTAAGTGCCAATCATGAGTTGCAGCGAGTGAGATAAGTAACCTGACAGATGTTAATTTAGCAACAGGAGAAAAAGTGTCAGAATAATCAACACCATAGGTTTGAGCATAACCCTTTGCAACCAATCGAGCTTTCAATCGAGCAACAGATCCATCTGGATTAACCTTAACAGCAAAGACCCACTTACATCCAATAGACTTCTTCCCTGAAGGCAAGTATACCAAATCCCATGTACCATTAAGATCCAAAGCATTCATTTCCTCTATCATGGCATGACGCCATTCAGGATGAGACAAAGCTTCTTTAACAGATTTGGGAACAGAAATAGAATCAATGGAAGCAACAAAAGAACATGAGGCAGGAGATAACTGACTGTATGACACAAATGAGGAAATAGGATGAGTACAAGACCGTGTACCTTTACGTAGTGCTATCGGGAGGTCAAGATCAGATGTAGAGACAAGATCTGAAGATGCAGGTACTGGTTCAGGACATGAGATCGAAGTCGGACCAGTATCAGGATATGTAATCACAGGTGTCACAGGTGGGGAGTGATCTTGTGCTTTGTGTCGACGGGTGTAAACCAAGTGTACAGGAGGTCTAGGGTCAGGAACAGTGACATTCGACATAGTTACTGAAGGTGTGGTCTCAGGTATAGTAACTGTGTAAATGAGTATTTCATCGTTGTCCTCATGAATATCTGTCTTGGATGATGAAAATGGTGTATTTTCATGAAATGAGACATCAATAGAAATAAGATATCGACCTGTACTTGGACAAAAACATCTATACCCCTTTTGAACTCGAGAATAACCCAAGAAAATACATTTCAATGACTTGGGGTCCAATTTCGTCCGATGAGGGTTAACATCTCTAACAAAACAAGTGCAACCAAATATTTTAGGTGGAATAGGAAAAAGTTCTTTATTTGGAAAAAGACATTGATAAGGAGTTTTACCATCCAAAACAGAAGATGGCATACGATTGATCAAAAAACATGAAGTAGACACAGCGTCAGCCCAAAACTGTTTAGGCACATTCATTTGGAATAGAAGAGCCCTTGCAGTTTCTAACAGATGTCGATTCTTTCTTTCAGCAACTCCATTTTGAGGAGGTGTGTCTACGCATGAAGTTTGATGAATAATGCCATGTTGAAGCATAAAAGATTTAAATGGAGCAGATAAATATTCTTGGGCATTGTCTCCCCTTAACACACGAACAGGAACATTAAATTGAGTTTTAATTTCAGCACAAAATGCAGAGAAATGAGTAAATAAATCGGATCGGCGCTTCATAAAATACACCCATGTCATACGAGAATAATCGTCAACAAAAGTGACAAAATATTTGAAACCAGGTTTGGACACAACTGGACATGCCCCCCAAACATCAGTATGGACAAGATCAAACGGAGCATTTGCTCGTTTATTAAGTCGGGGACTTAAACTAGTGCGATGATGTTTAGCAAACTCACACGACTCACATTGTATAGAAGACACTTTATTAAACTGAGGATATAATTGCTTCATTAGTGAGAGAGATGGATGTCCTAATCGGTAATGAGCTTCTAATAGATTTCCAACCCCAAGGCAAGAGATACCTTTTGTAATTGATGTATCCAAAATATAAAGACCACCCGACTCATGTCCTTGACCAATAGTATGCTTCGTTAACAGATCCTGAAACACACAATATCCCGGAAAAAATGTTACAGAACAATTAAGAGTACGTGTGATTTTACTGATGGAAAGCAGATTAAATGCAAAATTAGGAAGACTCAAAACAGACGATAATGGTAATGTAGAAGTTGGTACAACAGTACCAGATCCAAGAACGGGTGAGGTAGACCCGTCTGCTAAAGTGACACTGGAAGCAGGTAAATGTGAGTGAAATGATGAGAATAGACTAGGATTACCAGTCATATGATCTGTGGCACCTGAGTCAATGACCCATTTTGAGGATGATGAAACAAGACATGTGTTTGAAATACCTGAATTTGCGACTACCGAGATAGGGGTAGATGAATGCTTTAGAGATTCTTGGTAGCAAATAAATTTAGCATACTCGTCTGAAGAAATAGCAATTGATCCATCAAATGAACTCGTAGCGGAAGCAACATGAGCAAGCTGATTTCCTTGATTTTTGAACAGCAACTTTCTACATTCTTTGAGCAAGTGTCCAGGCTTCTTGCAGTAATTGCATCTTATTTCTCTGCCAAACTGAGTGGTACAAAACATTTTTTTTTTTTTGATTTTTTTTTTTTTTTTTTTGATTTTTTTTTTTTTTTTTTGCAGTAGTAAGTTCAAAATTGAGATACTGCCATAAGCTACAGCAGCCTTTCCCCGTTTGTGGGCTCAAAATTTGGAGAAGAAAATTTGGAGGAAAAAAAACTTACTCAACTTTTAAAATTGATGCGCTGACATATCGGTAGCAGTTCAAGGGGTGTCCACACATATCCGATGCTAGACACCAGCGAGGCAGCGACCAACCCACCTGGGGCGTCCACAGTATCCGATGCCGGACACTAGCGACCAACCACGAAGCTTCCTCCGGCCCACAGATCCCGTCCCTTGCTGGACAAAGAACGAGAGAAGTAAAGTATACCTGGCAGAGGACTTTCAGGCGAGTTTCAGACGAAGAGTTCCGATCAGATTCCGGCCAGAAACACGGCGTCACGCGCCGGTGCGTGAGTTGGCTGCGGAATCTTCCGGCGGCGCGTGTCACTCACGCGCAATGATTTTGGAGTGCGGACTTTGGGTGTTCGGTCGACAGTGGCAGGAGAACCAGAGGATGAGGGAGGTTGAACAGGGTTGTCGGATACCCAGTTGCTTCTGAGATCGAAGGTTCTGGCAAAAGCTTCTGGGAAGAGGTTCTGGGAATAATCGGAGGTTCTGAGATTGAACTAAGCTTCTGAATAGAGATTCTGTGTAAAGAGGTTCTAACTGGGTTGAGTTTCTTGTAGACAGAATGGTGCACAGAGGTTCTGAACTGAACTCAAGTGGTTCTGAACTGAACTCAAGTTCTTTGAGAAAGAACCGAGTGTGAAAAACTAAATTGAAATCTGAAAAACTAAATTGAAATGAAAGGCTCTGATACCATGTTAAAATAGAGCATATTAACTAAGAAATAATATTGGAGAGGAAAGGATTTTCTGTGTATTTCATTGGAGGGTTAAGTCCCTATAAATATAGATTACAAAGATAGAATATTCCTATAAGATTCTATACAATAATAATATCCTAGAGTATATTCCTAAAATATTCTAAAGTATATTCTAAGGATAGAAGAATATTCTAAAGTATATTCTAAAGCATATTCTAATGTCTTTCACACTTCTCAACGATTGAAACTCTATTGTCCAATAACTCAAAGGTATTGAAAGTAAAAATAACTCTATATTCAAAAGCCAGAACTCGAAAGTTGATTAGCCTGTGAAGACTCATGGGTTAAACTGTTGAAGACGACCTCTCTGGCTCACTTGTTTCCATTTTTATCAGTATCATTTTCACTTACTTTCTAAGTTTCTATTGGGTGCCACTCCTTATTTAATTAATTATTATAGAGTATATAGGTATATTACTCCATATCACTTATTAACTTATTTATGACGTAGAGTGTCAGAGTAATAGAGTTTATAATCACTTATCAGCTATCAATTACTCCCTCCCGTCCTAAATAAACTTCATAGTTTGACTTTACAGTTTTTAAGATAGTGAAATTTTTACTTTTGACTTTCCCATCATGCCCCTACAAAAAGGTGATAAAGTGTAGTGTGAGAGACAAAGTGGGTGTAAAGTAGGTAATAAAGTAAGGGTAGAGGGGTAACTTTATGTTAAAAACTTGCCAAAAATAGAAGTGTGAAGTTTATTTTGGACCTATCCAAAAAAGAAAGTGTGAAGTTTATTTAGGATCGGAGGGAGTATTTCTTTTACCATTTATCAGTATCGTCAAAAATATTCTTTTCTATTTTTCTTTCCTTATAGAAATTATCATTGTTTTAAAAATTAATGTTTGTTGAGAACTTAACTGTTTAACGTTTTATTGCTTATTTCAGAAAGACATGTTTAGTATTCTTTCCCAATAAGTTACTTCTGAATTCTGATGCAGTGTGTCAGAGTAAATAGAGTATATTCTCACTTATGAGTTACTCAGTATCACTTATTTCATAGACCTTTTATTACGGAGTACTATCGTCGAAAACATTTTCTCTGTTTTTCTTTTCTTTCATAAACTACCATTTTTGTTTGCAATTAGTACTTGTTGAGAGCTTAACCATTTGATCTTTTATTGCTTATTTCAGAAAAACATTTTTGCGCTTATTTCCCATTAATAAGCCTTCTTATTATTAATATTGCGCCCACCAAGATAATTTTGTGTTTTAGTTAAGTTAGAGTTTGGAGAATAAATTACCCACCCACACATATATATAGACAGAGAAAGGTAAGTAGTCACCTCCTTTATTTCTGTGTCCTCATCTTCAAAAATGGTTTCCATCTCTTCCATCTCCCAAAGCAGGACATCCTCCAAAACTTCTGGACATAGTTCCTCCTCTGAAACCCAAATTACAAAAGAAACATCACAGAATGTTCTTTAAAAAGCAGAAAGTTCAATGATCACAGTAGCCCTACAAAATTACTTCTGGAATTGATGAAGAGGGAGATGATACATGAGGCGAGCTTCTCACGAGGGCGTCCTGATTGTTGGAGTGCCAGTTCAAGGGCTGTCCATCGAGAGAGGATTAGATTGATCCCTTCTTCCATGATGGGAGACACCTTTGACATTGGAAGGGTAGTTGATGATGTTCTGTTTCCTTTGTTGTTGTCCATCTTTTTAACACCCCCACAAAACCTCAGTCTCCTACTTTTGCCACCAATAAAAATCCTGTTAATCTCAGCCTCAGTTATTCGTTTTAGTGTAGCATATTTAACGAGCCAGTGAACAATTAGACAAATTCAATTGGAGTTCTACTTTAGCAACAGTAACATCTATTTTGAGGTTTTCAGTAGTAAAATCAAACTATTACCTGTAATTGTTTTGCAACCCAGTAAGCATTCAGAAAATTGGATCACAGTGGGAGTTCTAACATAGCAATAATGACATAATGCCATAAATTTTATGGCATCAAGTTACAAAATTCGAACTTTTTAATATTTATCCGAACCCAGCAATAATCTGCAGAATTTTGGCTCTCCTCTGTACGAAGGTAACACTCCCAGCGTATTGGATGGTCATTAAGTTGCAGCTTATTACAACTCCTTAATTTAGAAAATGATTCATCGTTTAAGTGAAAGAACAGATAAAGAACGAACCTTAACAACACCCTCAGCGAATTAGACGAACGGCGTGGTGGAGACTGCGTGAGATTTTCCCATGTCTCGGGCATGTGATTTTCTAACTGGACCGGAACAAACACTTTGGGCCAATATCCATTTACTAACATTGAAATCCATGACTTCAGTAATTTGCTGATTTGTAGAATTATTATATTTAAAATATTTTTTTATGACAAATCAAGTAAAAATCTTATAGGAAATAGCCACAATGAACTCTAACACTAATTGTAGTTAATTCAATATAAAAGTAACTTAAACTCACTTATGTTGATCACTACAATGTATATAATTCAGCACAAAATCAAAAGTTATGCGTTTCATAAAATAAAAATGACTGATGAGAATAATACGTTAAAAATCATCGTCACAGCCACCCTCTCCCTCGCCATCTCCCTAGTCGACGTTGTTGCTCTCTTTGACGTCGTCTCTGTCGCCTACTCCCTCCTCTTTGTCGTTCGTGTGATGATTTCAACGACGTCAACATGTTTGGCATTCATTTTCTTCTCTTACTATTCTTCTCTTTTTACTCCCACGATTGGGGATGGTGAAGATCTAACAATGACGGCTGATTTGTTGATGGCGATTTGGCATAGACGTGTTGGCGAGTGAAATAGTTGTGGCTGCTAGGGTTTTTTGTGCGGCAACGATGACGGCTCAGGCTTAGGGCAGGGCATAGCATGGAAAAGTCAATGGTGGAGCACTAGTGGTGCTAGATCGGCCATCCTTGATGGATGACGACCCGATTTGGGGCCGCAACGACTGCGCAGGGTGTGGTGAGGATTTCAGCGAGGGGGTGCGGTGGTGGTGTATGGGTAGGATTTTTGGGCGAGCTAGAGATAGGCAAGGGAGCTGGTGTGTGTGTTATGGGAAGCTCAAGGGTAGTGGTGGGTCATCGAGGTGGCCACAATGGTGGCCGGATGATGTGACGGTTGAGGGTCGAGGGCTGGTTTTGGTGAATGGTAGTGACGAGATCATTCTGACAGTGTCACTATGGTCGGAGTCACTGTGGCGGCATCATTGTGGCGGCGGCATTGTGGTGGTGTAAATGTTGTCGAAGTCACTGTGGCCGGAGATACTGTGTCACTGTGCCACTGGAGTACGTTGGGCCACTGGAGTTATGTAATCGTGTCACTATGAGGCTAAATTTGTAATATTAGTCACTTTTTTGAAATTGAAATAAAAGGTCACTTTTTTCAATTATCCATTTTTAGTAATATTCGAGTCAAAACCCCGATGTTGTAAATCCCATAACTTAATCCAAATTTAACATGCGCATAAAATTCACTCACATTGATAAGCATATTGAAATATTTAAAGAAATCTTATAAATTGCATCAACCACAATTAATTAATTTATATCTACCTCATTTTATTAATCTTAAATTTTAGTGTTCATTGTAACTATCATTTTCTTACATTAACTAATGTATACTAAAAAAATGTTGCATCATTGGTATTCATTTATTTGAATTCAAAAATGCATTAATCGAATTTCAATGTTACGTAGAAGGTTTGGAAAAACATTTAAAAACTCTGTTACCATGCGCACAATTGAAGATGAATATTGATCAATACAGTGCTGCATATTTTTACACTGCTACTAATAGTGTTGTGGATTAAGTCTTTATATTATGTTAACATAAAGGCGAAGGTAGTGGTGGAGCACTGGTGGTGCTAGAGCTGCCATCCTTGATGGATGACGACCTAATTTGGTGGTGGTCACTAGTAGAAAACTGGCTTACAATGACACTTTCTGATATAATGTCACTTTTTTTTTACTCTAGGGGGCCTGGGGAGGGGGCTGGGGGAGCCTGGAGTAATCAGGGCTGAAACTCACTCCATTGAGTTTCAAACCCTTATGTTCCTAGCGGGTTTCGAACTCGAGACCTCTCGCTAGACACAGTAACCTTACAACCAGATGGGCTGAACTGCTTGGTTTCTGATATAATGTCACTAATAACACAAAAGTGTCACTATTTTCTAACACAAATGCTTTAGCACCAAATAGTGACACTTAACATTTTCTACGGAATATGCTTGAACTTACACACGCGTAATTACTCCACTAATGGGTCGGCCTACTGCCCTACACAGAGTTTAATATACAGAGTAATATTTCAACACATAGGACACGTTTACTTCACGGGTTACTAAACGATGCTTATTAAGACCCGTGTTAATAAACGGCACATAAAATAAGCAATGTTGTAAGATCGCGTTTACTTCAAAGGGTTTAAAACACTGTTTAACATTAAAATGTTCAAAATAACACTATACATATATAAACATACAAACATTCAAGTAACACAAGTATATAACATAACATGTGAGGCCACCTCGTACGTGTACCCATACCCCACCCCTACCCTACACCCTACACCCAATTCCACACCCTTGACCCCTACTCCTACCCTTACCACGACCTTACCCTTAATCCCTACTCCCTTACAACCTTTCATACCCACCCACACCCCTAACAACTATTACTCATAGGGTGAGGTCGGGGCTAGGGTCGGGTCGAGGTAAGGGCAGGTGGTATGAGGTAACGGGGTAGGGTCGGGTAGGGTAAGAGGGTACAGGACTTGTGGGGTGGGGTTATGGTCGAGGGTAGGATGGTTAAGGGCTAGGGGTAGGGGTGTGGTGTGATGGGGTAGGATGGGGTCGAGGTAGGGGAAGGTGGTAGGGGGTAAAGGGGTCGGGTAGGGAAGGCAACGAGCGGGTGTGGGGTAAGGTGTATGGTCGGGGGTGGGGTAGGGTCATGGTTGGGGGTAGTGGGTAGGGTGGGGTCGGGGTAAGGTAGGGGTAGGGGGTAAGATAGGAGGTAGGATGGCGGTAGGGTGGGGTCAGGATCAGGGTAGGGCAGGGGTAAGGTACGAGGGTGGGGGTAGGGTAAGGTGGGTCGGGGTGGGGTCGAGGTGGTAGGGGGTAGGATGGTTGTAGGGTGGGATCGGGATCAGGGTGGGGTAAGGTCGTTGTAGGGAAAAGAGGTACGCGGAGGGGATGGGGTAATGGTTGGGGGTAGGGTAAGGTACGAGGATGGGGGTAGTGGGTAGGGGTGGGGGTCAGGGTGGGGTCGGGGTAGTAGGGTAGAGGGTAGAGAATATTATCCCTCGTATGACTAAAACATCTCTCATTTCTCAATATATGACTATGAGTTTATTTCCCACTATAATACGTGCATGATTAATTACTTTTCGTTTATGTTTTTAATTCCACAGTTGCCCTCCTAACATGATCAAGATGGAAGTAGTTTAGTGTTTTAATCTTCCTAATTAGTAGGATATGATATGCACGGCCGTCCTTTTTATTAAATAGAAATCCTATTAATATATGGTAACTGCTTGGCTTATCATTATAGCAATCCTAGAAATATGGTAACTGCTTGGCTCATACGTAGTATATAATTTTAAGTATTATACTTCGTATTTATTTATGAACACATGTTTATTACGTAGTGTTAAATGTATTTCTAGTCATTTAAAAAAAAGTATTACGTATTGCATATTCTCATTCATTCCCGACTTCCTTCATTTTCGGTCATTTTTTGTACTTTCATGGATGTACGTTGTCATATTCTTTTTATTGCTCTTCACTACTACTCCTGATTAAGGATGTTTTTACTTGGACTGTAACTTGCTGGTCTGGTCTGGTCTGGTCTGAACTGGTCTGGTCTAGTCTGGTAAGGTCTGGTTTCTTTGTATTTTTATAACTATCCAAGTCTGGTCTGGTCTGGTCTGAAGTGGTCTGGGACAAATTACAATCCAAGTAAAAACATCCTAAACCATCTTACTGCCCTTTTCTTGTTTTACTAACCAAAGTTACTCTTCAACTAAACTTATTGCCCTTCTATGATTTTTTAACTGACCAATGTTATGACTCAACAAATTAAAATTACTGCCATTATATTGTTAATGGCATCATATTGTTTTCAAAATTACTGCCCTTCTCTAGTTTTTACCTGACCAATATTATGACTCAACAAATTAATATTAATTACTGTCATTATATTGCTAAATTTACTGCCATTAAATTATACTCCGTATTGTATAACCAATGTTATATTACTGCCCTTCTCTAATTATGACCAATGTTATTGCATAACCAACTTACTGTCCCTCTCTTGTTTTTTTCTGAGTTAAATTATTGCCCCATATTTCACTTGATACTTCCTACCCCTTTTGTTCACGATCTAATGCCTTAAATAATAATAATGCCTTAAATTCGTAATTACTGCATTCACTGATCCGCCGTCACTGAAACGTAGGAGTCCTTCGTCTTCAATGCACCGCCGTCGCTGAAACGCTGGTGTCTTTCATGTTCACAGCACCACTGCTCCGCCGTCCTCAATCTCCGCCATAGCTTTCTTTCATGTGATTCAAATTCTATTTTCACCTGTTCTCCGTGCGTTTTGATATAGGTTGTAGAAGGAAAGAGTGTCCTTCTGGTTCTCTATTGCAATTAATACGGAGTATTATTGTTTATTTTCTGTTTTAGAAGAAAATTCCTTTTATATTTAAACAATGCAAAGATAGGGACAATCAAGTCATTTTGTTATGAATTTAAGACACCATGTACTCGTCGCACTGACTTTTAATCATCTTTTGGTCAATCATGTTTTTGAGTCATATAATGAGAAACTCACTATGTTTTACTAATACTACCGTATTTTTCTCAATGGTAAATTCGGAAACTGAAAAAACTTAAAGTGTCGCTTAATTAATACATGGGGGGTGATATGCTTAGTAAGCGGTACTTTAAGCACATCTTTCGGTTAGTAAGGAGCTTTTTAAGCAGTTTTTTAGGCATTTCACTCTCCCGTTTCAGAATTCATCGATCCCCGGCCTCCCCCGTTTTAGAACCCAACCCTAGCTAAATATTGCACTATTCTCCATCGACGATTGATTGCCGATCGCCACCTTATTGGGTATGCTGCACGACTCACTGGTGGTCCTTGCTAGGTCTTCTTCGTGAGCGATTCTCGTCGATTTTAGGTATGTAAATAATACTTCATCTCTTCCCTAAGTAATCCTTTAATTTTATCATCTAATATGGAAATCCTTCAAATA